TTTGAGGAATCTCTATGCTGATTTCCACGGTAGCTGAACCAGTTTACATTCCTATCAAAAGTCTATAAAGGTTCCTTCTCTTTATCCCCATCTTTTCCTCCTCTCTCCTCCACTTTCATTGTACCTTTGTTCTAGGGTTTCTGAGAATGATTTTTCAAAATAATTTCTGGATTTTATTGTTATCCATTGTAACATCATCCTCTTCACATCTAATTTTATTGGCTTAGGTCTTCTCTTTTGGTTAGTTTGGCCACAGGATTGTCAATCTTGTTCATCTTTTCAAAGAACCAACTTTGTTACACTGATCCTTTGTCTCGTTCTTCTGGGTTCCATTTTATGAATTTCATCTTTGATCTTATTTCTTCCTTCCTGTTAAATCTTGTGTCTGGATGGCTCTCTGTTCCCTTATTTTTTTTGGGGGGGGGGTCCGGTCGTGGGGCCTGAACTCTGGGCCTGGGCACTGTCCCTCAGCTCTTCAGCTCAAGGCCACAGCGCCACTTCCGGCTTTTTTCTTTTTGCTTATGTGGTGCTGAGGAATCGAACCCAGGGCCTCAGGCATGCAAGGCAAGCGCTCTACCACTGAGCCACCTTCCCAGCCCCTCTTGCATTTCTAAGAGCTTGAGATACATAATTAGCTTACTCATTTAAGATATCTCTGATTTTTTTAATGTAGGCATTTACAGTTATAAACTTCACTCTTAGAACTGTCTTTCTGTATCAGACAGATTCTGGTCTTCATTTACACTTAATTCTGTGATGTTTGAATTCCTCCAATCCCCTCATTTCTCCAATGACCTGATGATTATACAAAAGTATATTACTTAATTTGCATATGCTTGTGTATTTTCCATACTTTTTCTTGCTATTATTTTCTAGTTTTAAATTAGTAGAAAAATGTTAGATGTGGAGCATGGAATTGCTTCTCCATAGTCAATAAGAAAAAAAAGTACTCTGTTCCCTTATTTTTTTTGGGGGGGGGGTCCGGTCGTGGGGCCTGAACTCTGGGCCTGGGCACTGTCCCTCAGCTCTTCAGCTCAAGGCCACAGCGCCACTTCCGGCTTTTTTCTTTTTGCTTATGTGGTGCTGAGGAATCGAACCCAGGGCCTCAGGCATGCAAGGCAAGCGCTCTACCACTGAGCCACCTTCCCAGTCCCTGTTCCCTTATTTTTATAAATCATGTCTATTTCCATGGATTTTACTTACTAAGATCAAACAGAATCTGAAATTATTATTTTGCCTTTGCTGTGGTGAGTAATACAATGATGTTCTCACACTTTTCCTTCCTCCCACCTTCCCTCCGTCTGTCTGTCTGTCTGTCTCTGGTACTGAGGTTTGAATTCAGAGTCTCATACTTGCCAGATACACACTTGAACCAGTCTTCTCTTAGCCTTTTTGGGATTGTATCAGGACCCACAATTGAGAGTTCTAGTTTATTCCTTGACTAGTCTTCAATCCATGGTAATTTTCTCATCTATTGGTGATGCTTTTCACTGAGTTTGATTTATTGAGTTTGCTATTTTCATGATTTCTGTTTGTTTCCCCCCACCCCCAGAATCTCAACTTCTCAACCAGGTATTGAATTGAATTCCTTCATTTAACCTTCTTGAAGTGGGTCATTAATCTTGTTTTTTTTTTTGTATGCCAGTCCTGGGATTTGAACTCAGGGCCGGGGCATTGGCCCTGAGCTTTTGCGCTCAAGGCTAGTGTTTTACCACTTGACCCATAGCTGTACTTCCAGCTTTTTGGTAGAGTCTCATGATCTCTTGCCTGTGCTGGCTTTGAACTTTGATCTTCAAAAAATCTCAGCCTCCTGAATAGCTATGATTACAGGCATGCGCCATTGGTGCCCAGCTTCATGGATCCATTTTTAAAACTAGACTTTTAAATTCTTTGGCATTTCAAACATTTTAATATCTTTAGGAAGAGTTGTAAATTTGGAAATATCACTTACACCCCCAATAAGTTTTAAGACAAAGGAGCTATGGTACTTGCAGGATACACTAAGAACTTAAAAATTATTATAGGTAAAAATATTAAAAATTATGTCGTAAAAAGGATGATGGGGAAAGGAAAAGGAGAGGAGAAGCAAGCTAGGAATGACAAGTAACATCCGTGTGAAGATTTAAGAATGAATTGTGAGGAGTAACACAACAAAACAAATACAGAGCAAGAGAAAACAAGACAAATGAGTATTTCTTCCTTCCTGGAGATTCTTTGTCTTTGCCATTTTGCATTTTACTGGTGGTGGTGGTGTTAGGAGAATATTGAGTCATTTTCTCTCTAAAGTCCAAACAGGTTGGACCAGAAAGGGCTGTTTACAGCAGAGCTCTGCTGGCATTTCCCTATTATGAGATAACAGATGGCTGCTAGACTCAACTTGGCCCAGGGTTTTCTGTGTCCAGAAACATGTGTGTTAGTGGGGTGCAGAGGATGCCCTCAAATTGCTCCTGCCGGCTGAGCCCCAGGCTCTGTTGGATAACCTTTTGCACCAGCTAAGGTTGTGGTATGTGTGGTGGCAGGCTGCAGAAGTGCCCGAGCAGTGACTCTGTTTGCACCAAATGTCTCTGGTGCTCTGAGAGTTAGAAGAGTTAGAAGAAGGCAATTGGAAGCAGCAGGGTTAGGGATGGGGTCTTGAGTGATTCTAAGTGTCTTAGTCATTCTAGTTGTACTCCAGTGCTCCTGTCCTCATCTATTCACACACATAGTAGGTGCTAGGGAGAGAAAAACAAAAGCTAGGTGAGTCTTCGAGGAAGTGGGGACAGATACTTGCCCTTCGGAACCTAGTCTTAGACATTTATTTTGTAGTAATAGCTCTTACTTTCCTCTAGTTTACTTGATGCTCTCAACTGAACCTTATTTATTCCCTCCCTGCCCCATCCCTCCGGTTGAGAAATGTCCCGGGCCAATTTTTAACTCAATGAGAATGTGGTTTAACATTCTCCCTAAGTGCTCTTTTCATTGGGTACTTGCTGATAGGGTTTAGACCTCCAGGGGCTCTAGGGTGTAGCAGTGGAGATGGTTATGACTGGTGACACTCGGGAGTTGGCAGTCTCCCACCCTCTCCCTTTCCAGCTAGGCCTAGGTACTGAGGATTCCGGGTTACAGACCCCAGCAGGTAGCAGTGTGCAGATTCACGGGCAGCCATCCAATTCCTGGCATAGATGTCTTTAGGAAACGGAGTCATGACGGTATTAGAATAAAGAAAGAGCAGAAAGCAAACTCAACAGACCAGATCAGTATTAATGGAAAGCTGAAGAGGGCCACCATGGTGCCCGGAGGAGAGTCAGGAGACACAGGCATTACAGGGGCAGAGACCTAAGTAGGTCCTAGGTGGGAGCAGGGCCGAAGGTAGCTGGAGAGTTGCAAGGAGTTTCCAGAATGAGCCTTGAGAGTCCATGGTAATGGCCTGAAATGGAGGAACTCAGGGGCGTGACCCCTGAGGGAGGAGGGGGGAGGGGAGGGGGAAGGGGGCCTTCACGTGTAGTTTAGGATTCTGGGATAGAGAATTTCAGAAAGGTCCCTGGGTCGGGGAGAGTCATCAGTAGGCCAAGCGATGGAGCAAAACAAAGCCGATTCCCGTCAATGGCTACCTGACATTCTGACCCCAGTTTCCTTTGGGTAGAAGCCCAGGTTTCTTTTCCTGGTAATGGGTGATGTGCCTACTCCTGTGCTCAGCTACCACTCCCTCCTCGCTGCTTGGACAGCTGAGAAACATCTGGATCCTGACCAGACTACATGCACTCAGAGCTGGCTCCAGCTCTCCTCTCTCTCTCTCTCTCTCTCTCTCTCTTTCTCTCTCTCTCCCTCTCTCCCTCTCCCTGTCTCTGTCTCTGTCTCTCTGTCTCTCTGTCTCTCTGTCTCTATCTCTCCCTCTCTCCCTCTCCCTGTCTCTGTCTCTGCCTCTGCCTCTGTCTCTGTCTCTCTCTCTTGCTTTTCTGACTTTTCATTTTGAGGACTTATATTAATTGCTGCAGCTCCCAAAATGTAGATGAACCCTCCAGGTTCCTAGATACCCTAGTTCACGGATGTTCTGTGTATCCGAACCTACTTTTCCTGCATTGCTCACAAAGCAGTGAGCAAGTTGAGGCTTCAGTGGACCTTGCTCTCCACTTTCCCATGTCTTTCACAGCAAGGAAAGTCAAGGGTGAAGATGGGCAGCAAGGCACATTGTGCTAGCTGTCTCTTACTCCCCCCTGACTTCCCATCTCATAGCTGGTAGCATGTTCTTGAACCCAGCAGATGAACATGTAGTCATTTCATCTGCATAGATCCATCTGTGAGCAGTTTCAAGGAACAGTTATATAGTTTGGTGTCTATTTTTTTTGGGGGGGGTCTGGTCATGGGGCCTGAACTCTGGGCCTGGGCGCTGTCCCTCAGCTCTTCAGCTCAAGGCTAGCGCTCTACCACTTGAGCCACAGCGCCACTTCCGGCTTTTTTCTTTTTGCTTCTGTGGTGCTGAGGAATCGAACCCAGGGCCTCAGGCATGCAAGACAAGCACTCTGCCACTGAGCCACACTCCCAGCCCCTAAACCCAACATTTTTATATTATCACTTATTCTTTGATTTATTCATATTAACAGTTGAAAACCAACGTCATCCCATATCATGTAACTTCAGGAAAATGTCATCATGTAGTTAGGAAAGAAATATAAGTAAACAACAGCTTAGTATTATCAAGAATAAAATTTGGTATCTTATTCCACTCTTTCGTCCAATAAGCAATGGCAGTTCAGTTCAATTTTGCTCAAGTATGAATCTTTTAGAAAACTGTATCTTATATATCTTTCCACTTTGGTTGCCCAGAAAACATACTTGGGGAAGGGGAAAGATAGACAGGAAAGATTGCCTTGTACTTGGTTAATTGTAGAAAGGACACAAAATGGTTCTTTCATCTGTGTCTAGACCTTTCAAAAATACAATCATTATTTTTCTACCTTTTTCAGAGATGAAAATTATAGCTTCAACGTTTTGTTATTCCCTAAATCTTCTGACTTTTTTTGAAGCTTGAACTTTTTTTTAAACTTGAATATCTGACTCAACATAACGAAGAGGAAATATCTTACACAAGAGATTGAAGAACTTTGGCTGGGACTTGAGTACCTGCAGCTGATTTGTTTTCTGTTTGGTAGAAGATTTAGTAGAAGAGGGTGGTGTGTACAGAAGAGCAAGCACAGCATCACCTGGGACCTTGCCAGGTATGTAAGCCCAGGTGTGCTGATGCAGAGGCTGAAATACACCCAGTCATCTCCACTTTCACAGGCCTCCAGGTGAGTCTGGCTGGCCGAACTTTGGGGAAACGTCTGTGAATCACTGGGGTATCTTTTCCATGGTGGAACTTTGTCAGTATAATCTCTCCCTTCCTTTCCTTCTTCTGCCATAAACGTGGAAACGATCAAGCCCTCTTCATTGGCTTATGGTACATATTGGGAACTGTGTCTATCCGTTTTTCTAGTTCTGAACATAGAATTCATGCAGGGCAATTCAGAGAATAATTTATAGCGATACTAAGGACACAGACTCTTCTTTGTTGTTGTTGTGTGTCTTTTCTTTGAGACAAGGTCTCCCTATGTAGCCTAATCTGGCCTTGAACTTGATCTCTTCCTGCCTCAGCCTCCAGGGTGCCAGGTTACCATATTCAGCTGTAACAAACTTCTGGATAGGGGACACATTTTGATAGTATAATTCATTACCTGGGACCTCGTTTGTCTTTTAGTTCCTGACATTCACTCTATTTCAAATGTTTTCAAATGACAAAGCTGTACACTTCCAAGGGCTTGGAAGTGACATCTACTCTGTTGTTGCCCAACATTTCTTCTGCCACAACTTTTGGATTTTAGAAATCTGAAACTAGGGCATGAAGGAAGGAGGTACCTTATGTAACTGTAACCCCTCTGTACATCATCTTTATAATAACAATAATTTTTTTAAAAATCTGAAAGCCTCAATGGAAAATAGAAATGAACTAAGGACATAAAAATTCCTATTTACCAACCCAACATCTTTTAATTATGTTCTGTAAGCAGTGAGTTGGCTAACCAACCTGGGAAAAGATCTACATGGTCATGGGGGGTGGGGATGGAAGAGAGTAGAGAAGGGACAGAAGAAGAGAGAAGAGAGTGGAGGGGTAACTAGGGGAGGGGAGGAAAGCAGAATGACTATATACATTAGTGCTGAACTTTACTTGGGATTTTCAAACTACAAAGTTAGGATAAAATCAATAGAAAGACATTTTTCATTGTATTATAGATTGCATGGGCAGAATTTCATACCATTTTAGTTTTCCTCTATTTATCTATCTATAGATATCAAACATCTGTTAGGTGAGTGTTTAATTTCCTCCATTTTGCTTTTATTTCATGACTTCTCTTGGCTGTCCTTGACTTTGTATCACTCTTGTTTTTCTAGATTGCTCTTCTATTCTTCTTCCTGAAAGTAACAGAATTCAGTCTTAACCACAGCATAGCCACAGACCAAGAAGAATGTGCTTCCTACCCCAAACCAACTGAGCTGCTAACCTTAAATTCTATCCTGGGATACCAATCCCATTCTAACCTCTGACAGCCTGACCTCAGGGCCTCTCCGTCCCTCCAGGGGCCCCACCCAACGTGGCTGCCCAATCTTAGCTTCTGTTCTGTGGTTCTTGAACGGTGATAATTCAGTGTTTCACCAAGTGGGTCTGAAAAAAAATTCAGGAAGCCCTCCACTTCCTAGTTAGCTCCAGGCTGGCCCGTACAGATGTGGAGGCTGTGTGGGTATGAGAAAATGGATGCTAGGATGGGCGGTGACTTTCGGCCAACTCCTATGGGACACGTGACTTGAGACCCTCACTTTACATTTCATTCTAAGACCTGGTGGTTACAGGGTCCCACCACCACACACTCTGGAACCTGGAGGTCCACTCTGACCCATCACACTTCTGAATCCTTTCTTCCACTGGACCAGCATCTCCTGTGAATGTGGTCCCCTTTGTGCTGGATTCTTTTCCTCCTTTTCAACTTAAGCAATCTAAGAATTCCTTGTTTCCAATAATCAAACCACCCATCACGCAGCCCTGCCTACTCTTAACCTTGTCTTTGCATGGTAGGCTATTCAGAAGGCCACTGTAACTGCTGGCCTCCTGGGTAAGCATTCTGTGGTTCTCTGTTGATCCTTCAGGGTGACGTCTAAACTCAGCCCATCTTCTCTTAGTTCATGTCTGTCTGTCTGTAAATCATAGCATCATTAATGCTTCTCTGTTGGCTTTACAGCCCAGTTACTCAGGACAACTTGTTTTCTCCCAGACACATTCTCATGCATTTCCTACCTTCCTGCCTTTCCTTGTGCTCCCTCTGCGTTGAAGACATCTCCTGCCCTTCTTTATCTGGCCATACGCATTTCAGGCAACATCAGCTCTAAAAGCCCTTTTGGAGACCCCTGTAGATTAAAAGTCTCCTCTTTTTTTTTTGCTCTGATTGTACCTCTACTTTTAGAATTTAAAGTATTTCAAGTCAATATTCTTTTCTTGTCCTAGCCACACTAGTGCAGGCTCTTAAGAGCAGACTGTGTTTATTTTTGGTTTCTGGCATAGTGCCCAATACCTAGGAAATGTTCTAGAATTAGTTGTTTGTTTAAAAAAAAACAGTATGGAGAATAATAGCTAATGAACAGGAATGACAGTAGTAATTAACTGTGCAAAGTGATTTGCCTGAGTTGAAACTGAGTTTCTAGCCAAATTGTGTCCTCTAGAATTCTTGCACGATGCAAATCTTTTGTATTTTGTTGGCTAGTGGGAACTCTACTAGTCAGTACAGTTTTAAAGTTTTCCCAGCCCTAACTTAGCTTACCGGCCTATTGGGTTACTTTGGGCCTTTTCTCAGAACTCCACAGGCTAAAGATCCAATCAGAAGTGTGCTGGGACTATTTTAACAGCTAGCTCTGTGAACATGGTTGCTTATTTCCATTGTGTGAATCTCCCTCGCATGCCTAGTGTCCAGCTACTAGTGGTGAGTTACTGTGAGCACAGGAGCTCACTAGCATGCGCCATCTCTGTCTCCCAGGGAGCAGGAGAGGCAAGTAGCCAGGAAAACTAAGTTGATTGTCAAAGGGAGTACAATAATTAGGCAGTGACTTGGTTCTTGAGACTTCATCACCTTTGTTCTTCGTATAATCTATTAGGTACTAGTTTATACACTTGTCTAAGAATGGCTGTTTAAAAGCCAGTTCACAGAGGTGGAGTGTAGTTCAGTGGTAGAGCATTTGCTGCACTTGCTCAAAGCTCCTGAGTCCAACCACACACACAAAAAAGGCAAAAAAATAAAAATAAAAAAGCAAAAAAAAATCCACCCAAAACTAGTTCACTAAATTCCAGGAAATTTAACCTGTGTGTGAGCTTGATATAGGACATTCCTAGCTCCTAGCAATTGCTCTAAAACTACAAATAAACCAAAAATACAAACAAACAAAAAAGACCCTAAAACCTCTGGCTTAAATAGATGAATAACTCAGATGTAGGATTTGGGTTTGGCCACCAGAGGGCACCAGCAGATGAAGTTCTACTTTAGGAAATAGCATACTGGAGACCAGCACCTAGGGGTAGGGGTAGGAGGAGATCATATAGAAGTTTATGTTGGAGTTAATGCTGGGAGGCCTTGTGAGAACCTAAACAGTTTTAAATGGTTCTCACTTCCCAGCGCAAGCAGAACCATTACTCTCCCCAAATTGCCTTGTCTTCTGGGTCTGAAGGATTTGGCTTTTAAGCCACCAGGTCATCACCAGGCTCTCAGCTTGAGGAAGGAAAAGGTGTAGTGTTAATTAAGTACCTTCAATGTGTTGGACACTTTACAGACATTCCCTGGTTACCCCTGGGGGGGGTGGGAAGGAGGGGGACTTAAGTTGGTAGACTGCCAGGTCTAATATAAATAATAAATTTGAATATAACGTAGGTCTAATATAAATAACAAATTGGAATTCAACAGCCTTGGAAGGCTTCTTGTTTTTGCAGAGAAACAATTAGAACTTTTTAATCCTCATGAGAAAAAGTCCAGAGTATATTGTGGGCCAGATGACCAATATAAGATTGAGAGAAATCTGCTTCATTTATCTCTGCCTGTGCTAGCTAAAGGATCTCACAGCTTTGGGGGTTCAGGGTGGACCTGTATCTTCTCAGGATCTTTCTGGGGAGTTTGTATTAGAGCCTGCTCTGGCCAGGTGAGGGGCGTTGTGGATAGTGAAAGGAAGGTCAGGGTACATCTCACAGTCTGTTCTCTAAAAGAGAAGAGAAAGTGGCTTTTCTCAAAACCCCTTTACCTTTATTCTTATCATTAGTATTACAGTACAGTACAGTTCATTATGACATTTTCATACTTGCATGTTATGCATTCTAATCATGCTTATCCCATTCCCTTCTCTTGCCCTCCTCCTGCTATTGCTCTACTCTCAATGGACTCCATTTTGCTTTCATCTCTCTCTCTCTCTTTTTTTTTGTCAGTTGTTGGGCCTGAATTCTGGGCCTGGGCGCTGTCCCTCAGCTCTTCAGCTCAAGGCTAGCACTCTACCACTTGAGCCACAGCACCACTTCTGGCTTTTTCTGTTTATGTGGTGCTGAGAAATTGAACCCAGGACCTTATGCACGCAAGGCAAGCACTCTACTGCTGAACCACCCTCTCAGCCCCATGTCTTTTTTTAAAATCTAGATTCTACATAAAAAAGAAAATGCTGTGATTGTATTTCTGACTAGCTTATCCCACTAACATGATCTCTAATTCATCCATTTCCCTGAAAATGACATCATCTCATTCTTTGTGACAGAATTGGACTCCATTTTGCATGTGTACCACATTTTCTTCACCCACTCCTCTGGTGATTGGCATCTAAGGTAATTCCATGACTTGGCTATTATAAATTATATCCCACAATATATGTGGCTCTGCAGGTATCTCTAGAGTATGCTGACTTGATGTTCTTCAGATAGATCACAAGAGCAGGATAGCAGAATCGCATGCTAGCTCTAGTTTAAGCTTTTGGAGGACCCTCCATACGGATTTCCAGAATGGCTACACTAATTTACCTCCCCACGCCAGTGAATAAAGCTTCCGTCCCCACATCCTCAGCAGCATCTGCTGCTGTTTGATTTCTTGATAACTTGCCATTCTCACTAGTCACTTAGTTAATTCTTACCACTGTTGGGCAAACTAGGCCACATGCTGCTGTGCCAGAGACCAGACAAGCGGGGGGGGGGGGCTGCACCTACTTGGTTGTGTGTTTAGTCCTTGACAGTGTTGTACTCACCATCTCCGCTGCCAGGTGAGGCCGCTGAGAAGGAGGACACCGATCAGCAGGAAGACGCAGGCAGCCACTGCCAACAGAGAAGAGGGTTGATATATGCATGGGGCTGGACAGGGCGGCAGAAGCCCCAGCCAAAGGACAGGTAAGAAAGTCCTCCAGGTGAGGCGGGGCCTCTCGAGGAAGCGAGCACTGTGGTGTGTGTTCCTTTAGTCCCCCACAAAGCCAGGACAGGGGGCTGGGTGGCATAAAGGAACACATGTAGAAAAAGGGGCCTCTGCTTGTTCTTGGGGTAGCAAGTGTGCAGCGAGTGATTGAGAAAGTCTCAGAGGCCAGGCCTCATTAAGGAGGCTGCCCGTGAGATCGGTGTGTGGTGCAAGAAATCCTGACACTTATTTAGGTGTCGGCAGCTCCCACTTAGAATCCTAGCTACCAGAAACTGAGCTGGCTGGTATGAGAGACTTCACTCTGGGCACACTGTTGCTCTTCAGGAATGTCAGCATCTGGATTCTGTGTTTTAGTCTTGTTAGCGTAAAAGGGTGAGGAGGGTGGCATTTAAACCTTCCAACCAAGCCTTGGCCTGGTGGATCTGTTGTGTACCTAGAAAACCATCCTACCTACCTGCCACCTGATACTCCATTGTTAATATGAACGTCTCCACGGTCCTCGCTGCTTCTGTAGGTGATTGGGGATCTGGAGGGGGCGGAGAGAGAGAGAGAGGGAGGAGGTTGGAGGGTGCTTAGTTTATGCCAAGTCTGGGGTGCTTGAGGCTGGAGGGAGCAAGCAGGGCTTCTGGATGGATCAGATGCTCAGGGCTGGAGAAGGGATGTGGAGGGAGGGAGGCAGAGTTTGAGCGCTTCACCCCTCTGCCCGCAGGCCTCCATCTGCATCTTGGGAGTCCTCTTTCCCACACTTGTTTTAAGGCCTAGGGTGGTGGAGGCCAGGTCCCGGCTCCAGGGAGAAGGAGGCACAGGGCCTGGTGACAGACACTGTCCATCCTTTCCTGATGCGTCTGTAATGGCAGCATCTGTCTTCGGGGGCTCTCCCTCAGTACCTGTGGTGGTGAGGAGGCAGGAGGGCTCAGTCTCCAGAAGAGCATCTGTGCTCAGCTGCGGGGCTTCTTCGCCTGGGGAGAGAGCGAGAGCGCTGGTGGAGCCCAGGATGGGGGCTGAGAAGACTCCTGCTCCCTGCCTGAGCTGCCTTCCTCACAGGCAGAGATATGGCTGTGGTCTGGGGGCTTCTCGAGGGCACTGGGGAGCAGTGTAATGGCATAAGTAGAGCCGGCACGAGGGAATACCAGCCCTGAGCACAGGTGTCTGGGGAGTCCTAAGCAACCCTTTCCTCCCCGTGAGCCTCATTCAGCCTCGGCTTCCAACTTGACTAGGAAATGGGTCACAGGGTTTGGTGGCCTGGTTCAATTGGTAGAGCACCAGCCAATGTGTAAAGCGCCAGGTACTGACTTCAAGTCCAGATCTCACAACAAAAGAAAGAAAAAGACAAAAGGAAATGGATCATAAGAACATGTGCACGAGTGTGCGTGCACACGCACACACACACTCACACTGGTGAGGCATCAAACAAAGTGGAAATATACCAAGGACCTTTCACAGGCCCTCCGTTCTTTCTGTCTGTCATTACTGACCCAAGATCCAGACACCTGAGTATCTTACAAAGGAAGCAGTTGAACCCAGTGCCAGAGGCTCACAGTTGTCATTCTACTTAATCAGGAGGCTGAGATCTGAGGATGACAGTTCAAAGCCAGCCCAGGCAGGAAAGTCCATGAGACTCTTATTTTCAATTCAACAACAAAAAGCTGAACGTGGGCATGTGACTCAAATGGTAGAGCACCAGTCTTGAATGAAAAAAAGCTAAGGACAATACCCAGGCTCTCAGTTTGAACCAGCACACACACACACACACACACACACACACACACACACACACACACACACACAGAGGCCTGTCCTAATCATCAAGGAGGCTCACTGGAGGCAGGCAGGCTGTGGGAAGAATGGCACCCTCAGATGATACTGGAGGATCATGAGTCCTGAGACATAGGAGTAAGCAAAGAACAAAAGGAAAAACAACAAGTCAGGGGTGGATGTGAATGGCTCCCGATTTCAGCAACAGTGAGATTTCAGGACGAAGATGGTAGAAGTGGGCAGAGGCAGGTGTGCATGCACACGCACACCCTTGCGCACTATTATCACAGCTCAGGTGGGGGCCTGCATAGCACAGGAACGTGGTGATGGACAGAGCACTGAATAAATGATGGATTTAGAGTAGGCACCAGGAAAAGGAAGATGTAGTACGATGAGAGCCTGGATATTGGCTTTCAAACGAGGGGAAATCTTGTTAACTTGGTGGACGTGGTGGGATTTCAAGATCAGCTAGACAAGAGGTGACCTTATCACTGTGCTACCTCATCCCAGGTGCTCCTCTTCCATTTCTATTTATCCCCACAGAGCTGGCTCAGGGAAAGGAGACCTTAGAGTTGACCTGATCCATTTCTTTAGAATAAGAAAGAAAACAACAAAAACAGAGGTGTTAGGGATCACATGTCTTGTTCAAGGTCACAAGGAGGCTGGGAATGCTGCCTTGGTAGGCCAGATGGAGAGAAGGAAGCTGCCTACCTGGGAATGGATGCTGCTGGCTTTCATTTATGCACGTGAGCTGCGGCTGGCTCCACCTTGTCTTTCCACAGATCATTTTGCAAATGCTGGTGGCAGGGCTTCTCTGGAGGGCTTTGTATCCCTCGATGCACTGGTAGTGAACTGTCTGCCCTACCACGAAATGATAAATTCTCTTTTGACCTTCATGTTTCCAACGAGGTGGCTCCACGCAGTAATCTGGAAAAGGGAAAGAAAATTTGGAAGGAAAGTTGGAGAAAACATGGCGAGTGACTCTGGCTTGCCCTTTGTGAGATTGGACCTTGGTGCTTCTATGTTTTTTCGTCAGTTGTGGGACTTGAACTCAGGGTCTGGGCACTGTCCCTGAGCTTTTTAGCTCTCAAGGCTAGCACTCTACCACTGTGATCCACAGTGCCACTTCTGGTTTTCAAGCGGTTAATTAGAGATAAGAGTCTTATGGACCAGGCTGGCTTTGAACCTCAAGCCTCAGATCTCAGCCTCCTGAGTAGCTAGGATTACAGGTATGAGCCACCAGCACCTGGCTGGTTCCTATTCTTTTATTTGTTCCATTTCTTTCATTCAACCAACAGGAATTGAGAATACCCACATCAGGACCCTTGTTAGGCACTGTAGAGAGACACAGAGAGACCTAGTCACTCTTGTACAGGTTACATGTTTGAGTAAGAAAGACATATGAAGGCAAAGGTGGAGAGAATTTAAGTGGAGAGCAGATATGTACCAGAGCACAGGTTAATGAGCTATTCAATCCTGACTAATTGTGAGCCAACTTCTAGAAGATGATGAGGTCCTCCTGGAATACAATCTGAAGACCACCTTGGATTTCTCTTGGGCACCTAAGGGAGCACATTCTTGAGTGACGGCTGGTGGGCTTCACGGACCAGAGGGGAAGGACCAAGGAAAAAGCCAAGCCTCAAAGCAAGAGCTGAGGGAATCTCAGAGAATTGGTGTATGACCTCTGATCAAGCCATGCCTGAAGCTAGACCTACATAAACCATGACCAGCCTTTGAAGGATCCTATGTTAAACCCAAGCCTGACTGACCTTTGATTTCAGAGGTCATGTCTAGTTCAGAATCTCAAAAATTCCCCAGCTACTTTTTTGGCATTTTTTAACACCAGACAGTGAAACTGCATGTATGCTCTGACTTTCTAGACGTCTCATAGCTCACGTGCCCAAAATAACCTCAAAAAGCACTCTACATGACCCCAGCCGGGAGCTGAGTGTGTTCCTGTCTTAAGCCATCTTCTGTCATATTGCACATCTATGTGAACTTGTGTTTGAGTCTCAGAATAAAGCATTCTTTTCAAGTCAATAAATCCCACAGTTGTGTGAACTTGCTTGAATCGGGTTTGCTTTTTTCAAATGTGAGCTCACAAACCCTGCCAATGTCTGAGTCAGAACCAGCTGGCCATCTCTTGAGTAATGACAATAAAACTTGGGCCTCTGTGAGACCTTTCAAATGTTCAGAGAGTCACGTGGAACAAGAAAAGCAAGACAAACATTAAACGTGTCCAGAGATAGCATTCCCCGAGGAAAGGAATTAAAATGGCCATGTTGCAAAATGTCCCCCAATTGGGCCTTATTCACCCCTGATAATAGGAGCTTCAAGTAAATACAAAGTCATCTAACATAAGTATATGGTAGAAGGAACAATCATCAAATCCAGTTCTCATTTTGGTTCAATTAGGTAAGTGTATCCAAATCTTTTAACCTCTCTATGTCTCAGGCTCTTCAGTAAATTGAAGAAATACATCCTGCTCCTTGATGTATTAGTTATAAAGCCCAACTATGAGTATATATGATAAAATATGATTCTTTGTAAGGTTATTGAAATAGTATAAGGCCACAGAGCCTTATTTAGTCTACTGGTTCTCTCAAAAATTCAAATTCATGGGCTGTCTTTATTCTTGAGACCTTAAGGATTATTCATTTGGGAAAGCTGTGGGCAGGCATACTGTGCTTTCTCCTTGCTCATTAGCTAGGAACCATATGTCTGGAACTTTTAGGAATCCCCAGAATAGGCCAGGCACGATGGAGCATACCTATCATCCCAGACACTTGGAAGGTGGAGAAAGAAAGATCACAGTGTTAGGCCATTACAGGAAAAGTTAATGAGACCCAAATCTCAAACACAAGCCAGGTATGGTGGTTCCCATCAGTTAACCTGGCTAAGAAGGAAAGGGAAAGAGGGAAGATCTCTATCTGAGGCTGGCCAGGCAGAAGGGCAAATCCTTGTCTGAAAACCAAACAATGGGAAATGAACTGGACTGGGGGGTGGGAGGAGAGACATGGCTCAACTGGCAGAGCACTTGCTTGGCAAGTGTGCGGATCTGAGTTCAACTTCCATTACTGAAAAAAGAAAACCACAATTAAAAAAAAAAAAAAGAATCACCAGAAGGGCACTGCACATTTTATGATTCTGTCCTGTAAAAAATACCTTGACAGGCCTGGGAAGGTGGCTCAGTGGTAGAGCGCTTGCCTTGCATGCATGAGGCCCTGGGTTCGATTCCTCAGCACCACAGAAGCAAAAAGAAAAAAGCCGGAAGTGGCGCTGTGGCTCAAGTGGTAGAGCGCTAGCCTTGAGCTGAAGAGCTGAGGGACAGCGCCCAGGCCCAGAGTTCAGGGGCCATGACCGGACCCAAAAAGAAAAAAAAAATACCTTGACATCAAATGTTTCTTTTGTAATTCATTGTCTTGCCTTCAAGAGAAGAACAGAGGATATCCTGAAGGCAAGAACTATGTTTCTTCTGTCCAGGAGAGGATAGACTTTTTGCTGTTACAAGAATGACTTGCGCTACTGAATAAATAGTAAAATAGTGCTGAGCCATGACTCTCAGCTGCATGATATCCAGGGAAGAGAAGAATAAAGTGGTTGTAGATGAAGATAGCAGGGAAGACTTCCCTCCTTTAGGGCCGTGTTATATACATGCAAGGAAAAGTGGCTCCAGGAACCAACTCTAGAGCAATCATGCAGATGTGTCTCTTACCTTTGAGGTTCATGTGGTACATGGACTGCATCTGAGCTTGCGTTTCTGTAGTTTTTCTTTCTTTCTGCTCTTCTGGTTGAGGTGTAACTTGTTTTTTTGGGACGTGATTGGCTAGAGGATATGGGAGGAATGAAGCAAATAACATGTCAAATGTGTGTACTGTAAAACGCCGTGGGCATCTCTATAGTGCTCATGAGATGGCCAGTGAGGCTAGGGCAGAAAGATGAGCAAGGAACAAGCCTTCCTTGGGGGGAGGCCTCTCCTGCCTGGCCTCTCCATTATCCATGCATAATGACAACGTGTACCTGTTTCTGGAAGAAATGAAAGATGTTCTTTTTTTTTTTTCTGGTGGAAAATCTTTGTTGTGCTTATGCACCAAAAGGGATTTCTTTCTTATTGTCCATTCCGTCAACACTGTGTGTGTAGAAATGGGTAATAGCAGACAGGTGTGATCTGATTCCACAACCCAATGAATCCTCCTCTCTCCTAACACAGTTCAAAGCTCTTAAAGCTGAAGGGATGTGATCTTAAAGCAATGACAAGAAGATATCTATTATGTAAAGTGATAGTTATCAAAATGAACTCTAAGAAAGGGAAACAGGTTGTTATTTTTCTTTATTGTCAAAAATTTATAGAAGAACGCATCAGGCTGGGAGTGTGGCTCAGTGGTACAGTGCTTGCCTAGCATGCATGATGCCCTGGGTTTGATTCCTCAGTACCACATAAACAGAAAAAAGCCTGAAGTGGCGTTGTGGCTCAAGTGGTAGAGCACTAGCCTTGAGACAAAGAAGCTCAGAGACAATGCTCAGGCCCCGAGTTTAAGCCCCATGACAGGCAAAATAAAAATTAAAAAAATTAAAGAAGGCATCTATTGAAAAGGGTTGTACCAAAGTACCCCAAAGGAGACGGGATTCAGAGCTCCAGTTTAGAGAAAGGGAAGGATCTGCTGGGTAAAATAAGTTGATGAGGTGCTTCAACAAAGCAGCCATATTCAAACTCCACACACCCCTGGTTTACTCACTTGCCAGGGCTCAGATATCAGGATGAATGGTCCTCCCTTATTTGCATATTCTAAGTACACACCGGGTGGATAAGAAACCTTGGAGGGATAGAGATCCCATTGAGAGGGCTTTCAGGATTCAAAGCAGAAAGGTCAACAACCAAGTTCTGATCTTAGAAGGACTAAGATTTAGCTAGCTTGGGACATTCCTTGCAACTAGGAGGAGTCAGACCCTCATTAAATAGCTGTGTAAGCTGGATATGGTGGCCCATCCCTGAAATCCTTATTTGGGAGGTTAAGGCAGGAGGACTGTGCATTAGAGTGGAGCCTGAGCTAAATTGTGAGACTCTCGCGTCCAAATAACAACCCAAATTGTTTAATGAGTTATTCTTCTAGAAATCCCTCATACGAGTTATCCTGGAGAAGGGGCCTGCCTTGTTTTGTCTACTGGTATGAGTGAACAAAAGTTTAGCTCTGTCCCACACTACCCTGGAAATCCCTTTCCTTTCAAGTAAGGTTTTAGTGACAAAAGGAATCACTTACAAATCCTTACACATTGGCATCTGTTGTCCCAAGATGAGTTTTCTGAACAGGTCATATAGGACGAGCCGTAGCTTACTCTCCGGAACCCAGCTTTGCAGTCACAGTTTAACATGGTGCCCTTGTTGTAGGTGAGGGCTTTAAAGGCAGCATGGCTGACATGTGGTGGGTCACTGTCACACAGCTCTGGGCAGAGAGAGGAATATGTTCACTCAGCAGGCCGCACTCACTCACTCCCAGAGTTGATCAATGAATGACTTAATCACGTATTTCTTCGCTTTCACAGATCTCTATATATTCTTATGTTTTCCTAGAAAAGAGTCACCATGTGTTTCCTTTTTAATCTTTATATTAGAAATGGTTCAGAAGTGTCTACCCACATGGATCTCAAAGTAGGTGAGTAGAAACTAATGAGATTGTATTTCTGAATACGGCTCATGTTAATGACATAGATATATTTGTCCCTCAAGTTCACACGGCTTTCTTCTTCCCTCACATCCCTTGGTCCTCCTCTCTTTTTGTATTCTGGTGTTGATAGATGGTAAGTGCCAGCAAACAAAAGCCATGATATGGGCTACAGAGACCAATGACCTTTGGTAGGAACTGAAGGTGAAGGCCAATTTCAGCCCTCATCACTATCTGAATTACCATTCGCTTTCTCTGGACAGTGAAAAGAAGCAGAACTAACGTCCATGGTGCCATATCTACTGTTTGCTGAGTCTTTGGCAAGGTTCCTTAGTATGCTGTTCAATTTTTAAATCAGTGAAACAATTATTTCACTCCTTTCGCAGAAAAGAACGCTGAGATGAACTATAAACTCAGTAGCTAGTATGCTTGTCCGGATAGGATTTTGAAACTCAACTCTCTTCCCTTCTGACTATACTACCTTTCTTACACTATTGTGATGTTTCTCAGAATATTTAGTGTCCATGACACCCTTCACACTATAATTGCTGATCTTCTTGAGCTCGTTGAAATTGCTTTTGTTTTGAACCTTCTTAGAGGTGGGTCAAGCTATCAAAGTTCTCCCTACTCTTACTTCTTTAGGGAAATCTGGAAAGTTAGGGAATGGCTAAGTGGTAGAGCACCTGCTCTGGGTTCAAACCTTTGTACTACCAAACACATACAAATTGAAAACCATCATGAAACTCCCCATTAGAAAGGGTAAAATAGATAGAAGAGGCTGCTAGTAAAAAATGATATCATGGAAACAAAGCTACTGGATTTCTCTTACATTGTAAGTGGGAGTGGAAATTAATAAAATGACTTTGGAAAACAGAAAGCTTTTAAAAACATAATTTGTTGTTATTTATTAAGGCATATATAGAGGGGTTACAATTTCAAAGTTCAGGTAATGAGTACATTTCTCTTTTGGACAGCATCACCCTTTCTTTTGCTTTGCTCCAGTTTCACAGAAAGCTTTTAAAATGTAGCTAAGTATATATCTATCCCATGATCAGTAATTCCATTCTCAGGTGTTTATTCAAGAAGAATGAAAGGATGTCTACAAAAAGATTTTAAAAATACCTGTAGTAGCTTTATTAATAAGTGATTCAACAACTTAAGTAGCTATCATTGGCAGAACAATGAGAGAATGATACATTTATCGCATTACTCAAACACCAAAAGAATGAACTATACACAATACATACAAATCTTTAAAAATGGCAGGGGGAAAGCTAGATACAAAATAGCTTTTACTCCATTTGCATAAAATTCAAGAAAAGGCAAATCTTTTGTGTGTGTGCCAATCTTGGAACTTGAACTCAAGGCCTGGGCACTGTCCCTCCGTTTTTGTGCTAGCAAAGTGATAGAGTGCTAACTCTACCTCTTGTGCCACAACAGTTTAACAGTGGTTCACTGGAAATAAAAAAAAAAATCTCATAGACTTTCCTCCCTGGGCTGGCTTCAAACAGCAATCCTCAGCTCTCAGCCTCCTGAGTAGCCAAGATTATAGGCATAAACTATAGGTACCCAGCAAAAAGGCAGATCTACATACAGAGAAATCAGAGTAGTGATTTCTTATAGAAGGCTGGGATCTATTAGAAGAAAGAAACAAGGTGATAAAATGTGGTGTGTAAAATGTGCACATTTGTTCAAAACTCATGAAATTGTACACTTCAGAGATGGGCACTTCCTGTAAGTAAATTTACCTCAACAAAATTAGTATGTGTATGTATTTAGCAACTCTTCAGTAATTATTCGTTAGCACAAAGAGTCCTAGGATTTAACCTAAATGTATTTGGAATTTGGTTTCTCAACTGCAAGCCAAGAGTGTTTCTAAACACATAGATTATTATTTTTTAAAATCACATGAATTGGGCTGGGAAGGTGGCTCAGTGGTAGAGTGCTTGCCTTGCATGCTTGAGGCCCTGGGTTTGATTCCTCAGCACTACATAAGCAAAAAGAAAAAAGTGAGAAGTGGTGCTGTGGCTCAAGTGGTAGGTAGAGCACTAACCTTGAGCTGAAGAGCTGAGGGACAGTGCCCAGGCCCAGAGTTCAGGCCCACGACTGGACCCCCCCCCAATCACATGAATTGGTTCTGAGGTAACTTTGTACCCTTAGAAATTCATTAATACGCTGGGAAGGTGGCTCAGTGGTAGAGCGCTTGCCTTGCATGCCTGAGGCCCTGGGTTCGATTCCTCAGCACCACATAAGCAAAAAGAAAAAAAGCCAGAAGTGGTGCTGTGGCTCAAGTGGTAGAGCGCTAGCCTTGAGCTGAAGAGCTGAGGGACAGCGCCCAGGCCCAGAGTTCAGGCCCCATGACTGGACCCCCCCCCCAAAAAAAGAAGAAATTCATTAATACATGGTGGTGTGTTTTTCTAGATTAAGGCATGGAAATTTCCAAAGTCAACACCAAGCGTTGAGAAGGTCATATAAGGACAATGAGATGTTACAGAACTCTTAGGCTTTCCTTTCATAAAAAAAAAAAAGAAAGAAAGAAAGAAAGAAGAAAAGACATTTCCCTGGAATTCAAACATGGAAACTTACGGGCCTGTTGCTGAAGAACAAGCAGAGTTTAATAATCCTTTTCCTGAAAGGCTTTGCCAATATCTACCTCTTTAGGTTTTTGTTGTTGTTGTTGTTGTTTGTCAGTTGTGGGGCCTAATCTCTGTCCCTCAGCTCTTCAGCTCAAGGTTAGCGCTCTGCCACTGGAGCCACAGCGCCACTTCGGCTTTCTCTGCTTATGTGGGGCTGAGGAATCTAATCCAGGGCCTCATACATGCAAGGCAAGCACTCTACCACTGAGCCACCTTCCCAGCCCCTCTACCTTTTTGAGCATAGCTCCACTTCCAGTTTTTGAGTGGTTAATTTGAGATAAGAATCTCATGGGCTTTCCTGCCTGAGCTGGCTTTGAACTGCAATCCTCAGATCTCAGCCTCCTGAGTAGCTAGGATTACCAGCACCCAGCCAGGGGTGACTTTTCTTCCCCATAAGCTAAAATGAGTGAGTCTGTTTTTTGTTTTATTTTGAGCTCTTTAACATACAACATCTGAGAAAGTAATTTGTCTAGAAGCCTCCCAAGAGAAATAATTAAAATTTCCACTTATTCCATTAACAAAAACTCCACTATCTCTATGCTCTGATTCCTTTTAAATTAATAGCACAGCATGATCTGCTCTTGTTCTCTAGTTCCAGTCATCAAAAACTCTGAAGAACTCCAACTTCAGTGAATACAAGCTTCTTTCTGTTTTTACTCTTGTTCCTATCTTTCCAGATTAACTTTTTGTTGTTGGTAGTGGTGGTCATGGGTCTTGAACTCAGGACCTGGGTGCTGTCCCTGAGCTCTTTTGTTCAAGGCTAGTGCTATACCACTTTGAGCTCCAGCACCACTTCCAGTTTTTTCTGGTGGTTAACTGGAGATAAGCGTTTCATGGACTTTCATGCCCAGGCTGGCTTTGAACCACAATCCTCAGATCTCTGGACCAGTGATGGCCAGGAATCACTCTACCACTTGTGCCAAACACTGAGCTCTTTTCTGGAGTTCCTTTTCCATTTAGGGTCTTGTTTTTGTCCAGACTTGGCCTGGACAGCTAAAGCTGCCATCCTTTTACTTACGCCTTCTACAAAGCTGGGATTACACACATATACCACTCAAGCCCAGCTTGTTTTTGGTATAGGTTCTGACTGTCTTTTGTCTGGACTGGCCTCCAACCATAATCCTACCACCTCTCTCCCATGGTCTGGGATTCCAGGTGTGCACCACTATGACCAGCTTCTTCTCTGTAATTTTTAAGTCTCAGTACAAGTGTAGATTTAGATGACATTCTCATTTCTGAGGATGTTTGGTGCTTGGAATAGAGAAAAAATATGAGATTACTAATTTGGGAGTAAGAGATGTGTAAATGCTTGGGGCTTAGAAAATGGGGCTCCCAGGAGGAGAATCCTACTGCAAGATCCAAGATGAATCAATATTGATATGGCCCCCTTACCTTTTAGTCTTTTTTTTTTTTTTTTTGTCTTGAGACTTGAACTCTGGGCCTGGGCGCTATCCCTGAGCTCTTCAACTCAAAGCCAGCACTCTACCACTTGAGCCACAGTGCCACTTCCAGTTTTCTAGTGCTTAATTAGAGATAAGAGTTTCACGGACTTTCCTGCCCAGGCTGGCTTTGAACCATGATCCTCAGATCTCAGCCTTCTGAGTAGCTAGGATGACAAGTGTGAGCCACCTGTACATGGGGGCTTTTAGCTTTTATACCTAACACAGGGGTAGAGGAGGAAAGAGGCAGCTAGAAGTAATTATTTCCCTGATAACCCTTGAGGGATGAGATGTGTACCAAGAGTTATACTGAGTCCTTCTGATATCGAATGTGTCGTTTGTTATCTCCAGGAATTGTCTACACAGCTGGAGCGCTACCGACTATGGGAACATGGCCCTCCCTTGACGGACATACTTGGGCAAATACCAGGGTCCGTAAGTGGGACACGCCTTCCTCTGGCTGCAGCACACTGTACATGGAGTAGAATGGTGAGTCACCATGGGGGTACTAGGACACACTGCTTTTGCTACTGTGGGTCCTCTACCTATAGATTATTGGAAACTCAATGTCCCCATCTTCCTCCTCTTTCTTCTTCTCCTCTTTCTTTTTCTTCCTCTTCATCACCCAACTTGATCTTTAATAAACTCCCAAAGAATACTGGTGCTTCTCATCCACGTACCACATGTCCAGTAGCATGGATTTAGA